GTTAAGCGTCTGCCTTCGGCTCAGGTCATGATCCCAGGGTTCTGGGATTGAGTCCCACATAGGGCTCCCTGGTCCTTGGGAGCCTGCTTCTCCCTCTGCCTCTCTCTCTCTGTCTCTCATGAATAAATAAATAAAATCTTAAAAAACAAACAAATAGTCATAAAATGGCCACTGCCATCGTCACTTCACCATCTAAAGACATCTCCAGCCCAACCTCTAGGAATCTTCTTCATTGGCTGCCCTCTGGACTCGGAAACTGGGTTTATACAAAGATGGCCTCGGCATTCTCCTTAAGGTTGACTAAAGGATTAGATGGGTTTCTTCCTGATTATAGGCCTGAACTCTCTTTTCTTAGTGCATGTACTTTAGAAAACTTTCAACTTAAATTCTTTATCTGCCTCTTTGAGAGGTAAGTCTTCTTTTTTTTTTTTTAGTTTTATTATGTTATGTTAGTCACAATACATCACTGGTTTTTAATGTGGTGATCCACGATCCATTGTTTTCGTATAACACCCAGTGCTCCATGCAGTACGTGCCCTCCTTAATACCCATCACTGGGCTAACCAATCCTCCCTTCCCCCTCCCCTCTAAAACCCTGTTTGTTTCTCAGAGTAAGTCTTCTACAACCTGGGAATGTCTTTCTCAAATACCTGGGAGCCACCGCATTGAAATGTAAATATCAGGAAGGCTAGCCTCGGCGCCCCATCTCAGTGGGGGTGGGGATAGTAACCTCCCTTCAGTAAGGGACAATTGGCAAACACGCAAGGCCAAATCACAGTGGCCAACAGCCCCGCCAGTGTCCCCCAGTACTTTAATACTAGCTCACCCCAGTGATTAAAATCTTTGCTGCCTTTTGATTCAATGGAGTTGACTTCAGTCTCTCTCTCCTATTTCAATAGTCTTGAATATAGTCTTCCTTGCCTATTATCTGGTGCCTTTTTTTTTTTGACAACACTCACAGCAACATGAACACACAGAAGGGTTTGGATGCTCATGTACTTTATCATTCCGTCACTCCAGTTGTGTCCTTTGGTAGTTTTCTGTGTGGGTTTGTCATTATGGGCAACTAAGTTTCTTACATGGAAAAGAAGAGGCAATAGAACAGTATGTCATGTTATTTATAGATGACAGAAGCAAAGTCATTCTTGAAGGGAAGAAGAAACCCTCCCTGTCTTCAATATGAAGATATTTCAGTCAGTAAGACTTAACATTATGTGCCCCCCCCTCATATTCTGATACAAAGTTTAGAAAGCAGTAGTTAGGCAGTTTTATGTCAGATAAATAGTATACCTACAGCTCATTATTGACAGCATTCATTAAAGATTAAAAACATAAGACCCTTTATAGAAATTCTAACTGGTCCCTCGTTCCTAGCATTCAATTATCATTTCTAAAATCTGAAATCAACATATTTTATGTCTAAATTGAGAGTACATTTGAAAATCTAAATTCAAAGGCATGCCTTCTAGTGGGCTGACTGAAGGGAAAGGTCTGTGATTATGCCTACTTTTCACCTTCTATATCACGATCTCATTGATTATGTTTCTCAGCTTGCTAAGGGTTCTGTGAGGTGGTTTTCAAGATAAATACTGCTATTTGCAGGATTTCCTGGATAGGAATATTTTGGGAGTAAATTGCACAAGCCAAGCGATGTGCAGTCAATTTTCACTCCAGCATAAACAATGTATTCAAACAGAGCCCTTAAGGCTTTTTTTTATTTGGGTTTCATTACACAGCTAGCTGCATTTCATCAATAAGCATGAAGTGCCAAGCAGGCAAAACTGAGGCTCACAGAGGTATTACATATTTTTCTACCAGGTGCTCAGAGTTTGACTAGAGAAAACAAATGACCCAGATGTCAAGGTCTTAGGCTCTTTGTTTCAGAGGTAGCCATGGCCACCATGGACAGACAAAGACAATTTCTTTACATTTAGGAATTGGAGGCTCCTTGTGCATCTATTTTCTTTGCATTCATTCATTCATTCCTAAGAGCTTAGAAAGGAGTTTCTTTCTCTGTGTTAAAAAATGGATATGTCCACAAAAGTGTTTGAAAACTATTTTTGGTTTTCAGTAGTTTAAAATCCATTTTCCCATCTTTCTTTAACTGAAAAAAGAAGTTTAATCTCTTTAAGTAGAGGGCTATAGCAGGCTGTACAGACTAAAATCACGTATCTTATAGTAGAAGAACTGTGAGCAATCTTAATAAATCATTTGTTAGACAGTGAATTTAGATAGAAGCTAGACAAAGAGGGATAAAGGACTAGGTAAGTTAGTAAATTATTCACACAGGTCGCTATTTCCTGATAACAAGCTAGGGGTCTGAGAATTATGGTGAGAATATCTCAAGTCATCATATATATGATTTTACAATCTTTTTTGCCTTGGATATAGCCACAGAGAAGAAGAAAAAGGCTAAGGGAATATTTTTGAAATCTGCACTCCAGAGATGAGAAACTCAGAATATGCACAGAGGACTGAAGCCAAGGAATTTTACTGCCAGGGAAAAAGCAGCTGCCTCTCCCCTCAGTGATTTAGACCAAGCTGCAGGAGGCAAATATCATGACTCTCTGAAAGTACACACAGCAGTGAGAGTGGGGACTTGTAGCTTTGATAAAGCAAAGTGATTAACACAGCTGAGAGGAGCTTTCACTCTAAACTGCAGGGACCTATTTGGCCTGGATGTATGGGCCATGGACAAACAAATGTCCAATGCAAGTTTTCCATATTTGGGAACCATTGTCATTTGGGGGGGTGGGGGGGTAAGACTGGGACTAAAGTCACTTTGGTTGAGTCAACAGCATCCCTTTGTATCGAAGGATTTCGTTATCCTTCTTATCAAATGTATTCCATGTACAGAGATAGCTAATATTGAATATATTTTTTCTTTACGTAAATGAAGGAGCTCATTTTAACTAAAGATTGTATTTAAAAGTAAAGGAATGTGTTTTTACCTGTGAGTTACAGAAAGCTCCTTCCAATTGGGAACAAAGAGTTTATGGCCTTCCTCTTTATAATACTAAATCAAGAAATATTTAAGATTATGCTAGATCCAACAGAATCTGACTGAGGTTATTGATTGTTGGACTAAGTAACTGTACTTCTTTGTTGAGATTACTGACTACAGAAAAATGAGCATCTAGGAAATGCAGCTGCACTGGAGAATGCACCGCAGTCAAATACCATTAAGGACACTGTGCTAGCAAGGTGAAAACACTGAAGGCATTCCAGGACTGGTGGCTTCCCCAAATGATGATACGGCTTTGCCCTCACCCAGGCTTGTCCCTGTGACTACACCTAACCCAAATGCAGGGTGAGTGGTTCATCAGAAGCCAGGGCTTGGTGTCAAGACCTCTACTGTGTCACCACTGTGCTAGATGTGTTTTTCCTTGTCCTGTATACTTTCATAAAGCCAACTAAATTTGGTTTGGGTAAAGCCTACTGTGACTTGACTTTAATCGTCAGACTTGAACGGAAGACCATGCCACTGGATGAACAGCCTGGGTTTTGCAGTGGTGAAATGATGTCTATCTGCAATGTACATGGGATCATCTGTGCTCAGGGGCAGCTAACAGAACGGTGGATATACACATCAGAAAGAGGTAAGGTGAAAGTAGTGGAGTGCGCTTTGCAAATATAACTCATTTTAGTTGTTCCCAACCTCTCTCTTTCTCTCTCTCCCCTTAACCTCACTCAAGCCCATCTTTCCCACACTTGGACTTTCTCTTCTCTAGAATATCTTCACACTTAATTTTATCCTTGTCTTATCTCCCAGCAAAACAGCACCTACATGGAGATAAAAAAACATGAGGTTGTGATAACCCTGAAAAGCAAGCAAATTGAAAAATCAGGGTCAGTGAACTAAAAGAAAAACTTTACTCAAGATGTTACTTAACTTACTTAGTCTGAAAGTGCCCATCCTTACATTAATCAAGAGGTTGAGATTTCAATTTAATTGGTTTATCTGATTAGCTGTTTAATGTTATTGGCCTAAAGGAGATGCAAAGCAGGGTATCAAGTTGGGCTAAGTCTTTGGAATACGCTCCTGGAAGGAAAGAGAAGATAGGGACAATCCATGTCTACAGGGACCCTAAAATGAGAAGATAGTGGCGTCCAATTGGCATGTTGGTCTAGAGCACTAGGTTTACCTGGGGCAACACATTACCATTCTGGGTGTCTCATTACCACCTTTATTCTTTTATTCAAAAATACAAGTACCCACCAGACACTGGGCCCTGAGATGGGGGTGTTCAGAAAGGAGGGGAATGAGGCAGGTAAGAAGATGCCCTCTGTATCCAAAGAAGAGTGTGATGAGGTACTCAGGTCTGTAAAATTTAAGTGTAAATCAATGTACAAAGGTTACAGGAAATGGACACAGAGGGTTTATAAGAAATCCTAAGAGGGTTTTTTATTCTACCTGGGGTATAGAAAAAAGTTTTGAAGAAGTAAAGACATGGAATTCAGTCTTGAAGGATATAGAAAAGTTCATCATGCCAACAAAGGAGAAAGAAGTAATTTAAGGAAGAGAGATCAAGAACACAGACATGGCATGAAACCACACACATATAAACATAACATATAATTTGTTGTAGTTAGAATATAAAGGGAGGTTGTTGGCAGAATAAAAGGATACAAAGGTAAACTGGAGTCAGTCTGAGAGAGTTTTCTAATATTTACTGAAGAGCCTATACTTTATTTGGTAGGCACCTAATCTCCTAAACAACTTTAGTTTTAGATAAGGAGTCTACAAACATATATTGATTGCAATTGAAGTAGGGATGGGAAACAGGTCATAATAACAAAGATGATGAAGGCATTCTAGTGATAAGAGCTTAATGAATATATTATTGCTAGTAAGTGCTGTAAGACAAAACAAAAAATGCTAGTCAATTTATTATTATTATTAACATAACAACAATGATGATTATGATAATGGATGAGAAACTTAGTTCAGTGATGCTGCCATTTTTTGGAAAACAATATTTAAAGCAAAAAGCCCCTACCTTAATGTCAAATGGTTCCGTTTGATTTGGCTTATTGTAAATTTCCAACTGATTCCGAATAGGAGGCAGCCACAGAAGCAGATGATTTAACTGCTCTTCCAGCTGCCCAAGGTCTTTTATGTGTGCCTCAATTTCTCCTTGTTTCTCAGGCAAATCTCTAGAAACCTGCAAGGAAAAAAAAGAGGAAAAGATTCCCATGGTTTAAATAAAAAAGCAAAAAATAAATATATTCTAAAGTTATTTGCTTTAAAATGTTACAGAAATTTACTGAATTTGGTATTTTACTGGAGGATACGGATTACTCACATGGGTTACATGTTAGGATTTAATTCACATATTACAATCATTTATTAATAGTCTTCCCCCAAATCCTATGCTTTAAAGACAATAAGCATTTTTTTTTTCTTTTGGAAATTCAAAACACACACTCTCACAAATGCATACCCAACTCCAATAAAAGTAAAGAAGTATATTCATTTACTAAGCATAATGATGTATTGCATACTAGATGCCAGACATTCTGCCTTTATACTTCCTTCTAACTTTCTTTTATGTTAAGGAAAATTGTACAAGGGAATTCTTTTATACGCAACATAAAATGGGAAGGTAGGCTATAGTTTGTGGGTCTAAGTATAATCAAGTAAAACAAAATAAGATGATCGGAATGAAAAGGAAAAAAAAAAGACATTTGGATTAGAGTAGAATATATCAGTATGATTATAGGCTATTTTTATTAAGGGCTTACAATGTGCCAAATACCATGTTAGGAAGTTTCACATTTACAGCCTTCTTTAATCCACCCAACAATCCTATGATACAGATATTATTCTTTTCCCCATTTTATAAATGGATGATGACACTGGGGTTGAGAAACATGAAATACCTTGGAAAGGAGTAGGATACTCTGTTCAATATTGTGAAGTCTAGAGTTAGGCTGCTTGGTTTAAATCTTAATTCTAGTTCTTTCTAGCACCTGAGCCAAGTTTTCTTTAATTCTCAGTGCCTTCTATACAGAATGCAGAGAGTGACCATATCTGCTTCACAGGGTCACTATATGGATTAAATAAGGTAATTCATGTAAATAGCTGAGAGCAATATCCTGCATGATAGGGAATGGCAATAAAGCCATTACATGTTAGTGATTATGGCTTGAGCTCAAAGTGTAAGTAGGGAGCCAGGATAAGCAAGAGTAAAGACTTTTTCTTCCTATTGTCAAGGGCCAAAACAGGCACACAGTAGTAAAGAATGGGAACCTGTAATGGCAACTCTTTATGATATGATTAATACTATTCTATTAATATAAATATAACATTACATTATAACATGAACACACATGCTACAACATACGTCTATTATAAGATAATATGTTATTATAGATAACATTTTAAAATTTTAATTCCAGTACAGTTAACACACCATGTTATATTAGTTTCAGTTGTACAATATAGTGATACACCACTTCCCTACAACACCCAGTGCTCATCACAACAAGTGCACTCCTTAATCCCCATCACCTGTTTCACCCATCCCCTACTCACCTCCCCTCCGGTAACCATCAGTTTGTTCTCTACAGTTAAAGGTCTGTTTCTTGGTTTCTCTCTCTTTTTCTTTTGCTTGTTTGTTCTATTTTTTAGATTCTACATATGAGTGAAATCATACAAATCATATTTGTCCTTCTCTGACTTATTTTGCTTAGCATTATACTGTCTAGCTCCATCCACATCATTGCAAATGGCAAGATTTCATTCTTTTTCATGGCTGAATAATATTCCATTGTGTATTTTGTGTGTGTGTATACATACACACCACATCTACTTGTCCATTCACTTTTTCATGGACACTTGGGCTCTTCCATAATTTGGCTATTGTAAATAATGCTGTTATAAACATAGGAGTGCATGCATCCCTTTGAATTAGTGTTTTTGTATTTTTTGGGTAAATACTCAGTAGCGCAATTACTGGATTGTAGGATAGCTCTATTTTTAAGTTCTTGAGGAACCTCCATACTATTTGCCAGAGTGGCTGCATCTGTTTGCATTCCCACCAACCGTGCAAGAGGGCTCCTTTTTCTCCATATCTTCACCAATATTACAGAGAATATTTAAAAAGTAAACTAGATAAGTATATTAATATACTAGTGCATCATCTAAATAATGCCCCATACTTTGGACCATCTGCTTTAGATACTTTTGAAAGAACTAACTGAAGAACATTATGTTCCTTAATTGCACCCAAGAGGTATGAGGAGAAAGGGAGATACATTAATGGACAAAATAACTCATCAGTTGATTTACAGGAGAAGGAATTTTATATAAGCTCTGATTATATGTAAACAATATGTATTTTGAAACCTATAAAGGCATTTATATATATTGTGTAAAATGCATGGGTTAATATTTAGCTTGAGACTGACCTTAGGGTCCCACAACAATGTTTCCTTGGAATGCTAACTTTAAGATGATTGGGAAACATTGGGCCTGCATTGTTTGTTGTATAGAACTGTATCTGCTTTGGGAAAGCTGTGAATTGGAATACAGCCTATGGCCTCCATGACTAAAAATGGTATAAAAGATGGAAAGGAAATGGAGCCTGTGACTTCTATTTATTTTTTTATTTTTAATTTTTTTTATGTTATGTTAATCACCATACATTACATCATTAGTTTTTGAGGTAGTGTTCCATGACTCATTGTTTGCATATAACACCCAGTGCCCCATTCAGTACATGCCCTCTTTAATACCCATCACCAGGCTAACCCATCCCCCCAACCCCCTCCCCTCTATTTAAAGTGACCTGTGCAGACCTTGGTGTTCATCCCTGGCAGCCTTTCCCTCTGTGAGTAAGGAGTTAAAAAAGCAACGTGTGCAGGGAGCATGCAATGCTTGTTCATGGATAATGAACTGTGATGCTCTTATCTGCTCTATTTGACTTGTATCCTGCTATAAAGTCAGGTAAACAAAGTATTAGGTAAAGGCCTATTTGTGTTTCGTGAGTTCTAACCCATAATGACATCAATGGTGATGGACAATGTATTTGTGTGTGCATGTCTGAGTGTTTGTGTGTCTGTGTGTGTGTGTGCATGTGCGTGTGTGTGTGAGAGAGAGACAGAGAGTTGATATCACAAATGTAATTCCAGGTCTATAATACAGAATCTAATAATGCTTTCTACTTACCTTTTCCAGCATTTATAAGGAAGTTATGAGTTTATTTTTATCGGATTATTTTCTAGTCACAAGTACATGTGAAAAATACTTTATAGCTTCAACTTGTAGCGTCTAAAAGCCTCTACATTCTGAAGTTAATGGAAATAACAGCCATCATATTTTCTTAAAATCTCTAAAATTGAGCTATGAACTCATTTATATCTGATCACAAATAGGGTTCACATATCAGCACAGAAATCCAGGTAACTTTCAACTGAGATTGTTAGTCTTCTCACACTCGCAACCCATCCTTTCCTGGTTCTAGAGGTAGAACAATTCCAGATAGCAAACAGTTCAATGGGTGAGATTTGACTAATATCTGAAAAAAGTAAATGATAGCTTATAATGAGGTTGTGGGGCACGTGTAGTTTTCAGGTTAGTTATGACATCTGCACTGGGTATATCCTCACAGACCTTGTGCTTCCCACCATCATAGCATTTGCCTTATACTCTTTGTTATTTACATTGACTTCCCTCACTGAGCTTTGATTTCTGGATGAACTGAGTTCCTACACATGATAGGTTTTCAATAAATGTCTGGTGAATGAAAGATAAACAATTTCAAAATTTAGGATTAATTTTTTTTCAATTTAAGAAGCAACGCATGTCCAGAGTAGTCAACATAAAGAAGGTAATTTTATCCTCAAGTGAAATAGCCTTAATTAACAGACAAAGATATTAGTCGATTGGACTACATAAAAATGAGAGACTTTCGAATGGCAAAAAAAAAAAAAAAAAAATCCCCTAAAAACAAAGTCAAAGGACAAATGACAAATAGTGAAAAAAAAATATCTGTGACATCTCAGATAAGGGACTAATTTTCCTAAAACATAAGAAAGCTTCTGCAAATTAATTTTAAAAAGGCCAAAAAGCCAGAGAAAAACTGGACAGAAGTTAAGGACAGTCCACAAAAAAGAAAACATAAATGGATTTTAAACATACATAAAGAAGCTAGACTTTGTTGTAATGAGAGATCCGAAAATCTGATCTATTGCACTGACAAATATCCAAGTCTGAAACACACTATGCTGCCAAGGTTGTGGAAAATACATGATTATATATGACCAGTGGGATAGACAAACTGTTGTACCCTTGTGGAAGACAATTTGGCAATATCTACAAAATGCATGTAACCTTATATCCAGAATTTTGCTGCTAGGAATTTATCTTGTAGATGTATTTATGAAAGTAAAATCAATGCTTGGTGATGGTAGGGCAGATGGTGGATGGGGTAGAAGATTTTCACTATAATTTTAAATTTTTGCAAAATATATTACCTTCACAGAGAAATAAATTAATTTAGAAAGGAAACCTACCAGCTTTTCTTCCTGCCAAAAATAATGGTGAGAATATATGTTAATAACAAATCATTATTAATAGGATGTAACACATCTAAAGCCACCAGTTCAAAATTGTGATTATTTTCCTATGACAACATAACTTAGTTAATGGTAGGGTAGCATTTGAGACCTTCTGACCTATAATTTTTGTGATTCCCCACACCTTCAAAAGAGTCTTCAGGAGGGCGCCTGGGTGGCTCAGTTGGTTAAGCGACTGCCTTCGGCTCAGGTCATGATCCTGGAGTCCCTGGATCGAGTCCCGCATCGGGCTCCCTGCTCGGCAGGAAGCCTGCTTCTCCCTCTGACCCTCCCCCCTCTCATGTGCTCTCTCTCATTCTCTCTCAAATAAATAAATAAATAAATCTTTATTAAAAAAAAAGAGTCTTCAGGAATTGATGGCTTCTACACAGTTGATGGAAAAAGATAACGTGAATAATTTATGATGTGGAATATGAGTAGGTTTCGTGTCAGTTTTTATGTGGCTTAAAATTATTTACTATTACACTTACTACTTCATATTCTTATCAAAATATGTAAACAGTTTAATAGTAAAATGCATCATTTTCCCAATAATCTTTTTAAGTATTATGGAACCATACTCTTCATATGACACGTTCTCTGT